CAGCATCTTAGCTGTAGAGGGCAGTGTCACTGGCCCTCATATGTGGGATCCGAACCGGGGTCCTCTGGCGTCCCAAGCCAGTTCTTAACCATCGCACCACTCGGCCGGCCCTGCCGCTATCATTCTTGGTGATGGCAGTCTCCACAAAGGTGGTCCTTTGAACACCCTGGCCTGTTCGTTCCTTTGTCCCCCACCTTCCACTCCCTCTCGGCCACCCACCCGTGGTCATTCCCGACTTGGCGACAGTAATGCCTTCCATCATCTTGATCTCAGCACGCCCCCCCCCCCCCCCGCCCCCGGTCCTTGCAGATTGTGTCCCAGCGCCCTGATGCCAGCCCCTCAGTGCCCGTCATCCAGCTCCAGGGCCATCACCCTCATCACTCGCTTGCACACAGCTTCAGCTCCCTCGCCAGGTGAAGACCTGGCAAAACCATCCTCCTGGCTGAACCTGTCTGCCCCTTCTGCACCTGCTCCCAGCTGTTCCTCGCCTGGCGGTCGTGCATTCTGCACTGCCTTGCAGTCACCTGGTGCCTCCTTGGTCCACTCACTCGGTAGCCCGGGGGTCAGCCAACTGTGGCCCATGGGACAAATTGCCCACCTTCTGTTTTGTGGCCTACCAGCTTAGAATAATTTGTATATTGAAAAAACATTGTTTAATTGAAAAAAAATGAAACAAAACACTGCCACAGTCCCCACCACCCCACCTGCCTGTCTGTCCACCTCTGAGCCCAGAGCCTAGTCTGCTCCTGTGACTGAGAGACCGCCTCTGCCACCTGGCTCTACATCCCACCCTGGGCCTCCGCCTCAGGCACCGGGCCAGCACACCTCACCTGCCTCCCTCGTCCCCACCAGCGTCTACCCCCTGTCTCCCTCCGGAGCTCTCCCCCCGCAGCCCCTGCCCCACTTCTCTGCTGTCCTCTGTGGTGCACTCCCTGGACAGTTGTCACGCCTGCTGCCTCCATCCCTCTCTCCCCGCTCTCTCTTGAACCTCCCCCGCCCCCAGCTGCCCTCCCCCCACCACCACTCTTATCAGGGCCACCAGAGACCTCCATGATGGAAAAGGTCTCACCCTACCTGACCTGTTGGTGCCTTTTGCCTGTGTTGGTCACTTGCTTCCTGGATTCACTTCTTTGACTGACAGGACACCCCCTCTCCTGGTTTTTCTCCCGCCTCACTCACCACTTTTTCTTTGATGTTTCCTGTTGCTGTTTCCCCAACATTCCAGGCTGGTCCCAACTCCCAGCCTTTCTACAGTGCCCTCTGCCTGACCATTCTTCAGAAAGTTTCCAGCTCAATCCATCACCTCCTTCAGGTCTCTGCTTAAATAGGACTTTCCCTGATCACCCGATTTCAAAGTACAGCCCTTCTCCCCACCCAGGAGTTCTAGTCACCCTCTCCCGCTTTGGTCCCATAGCAGATATCATCTATTATGTATATTTCATATTTATAGTTTATATGTGTCTGGTCGCCCCTCCATTAGAATAGAAATTTCAAGAAGACAAAGACTTTTAATCTGTTTTGTTCATACAATCAGATGAACAACAGAATTCTAGAATACTGCCTAGCACAGAGTAAGAATTCAATAAATATTTGTTGGCTGTATATTGTGTTTCATAATTTAAAATATGTGTATGTATGAAAAAACGTATTTCTGATACAATTTAAATTCCTTTTTCGATCTCTCTCATGCGTCCCTAGAGTAACCATTGGCCTCAAGTTGGTATTTATCCTTCCCACCCACATTTTACAACTTCTGTTATGTACATATGTGGCCATAAATAATATATAATGTGGTTTTCTGTGTTTTGAAAAATGACATAAATGTCATTATGTTTATCACTCAATATTCTGTATTTCAGATTTATCTCTGTTGAGGCATATAGATCATTTTAACAGAGGCTTAATATTCCAAAAGCAACTATATTATAATTTATTATCCATTCCTCCATTAAGTTGCACTTAAGCTATCTCTGATTTTTCACTCTCACAAGCAGCGCTGCAGGGAACATTCTGGAACCTGCCTCTTTGTGCCCACGTGCTGATGTCTCCCTAGGGCCTAGACCCCGAGTTGGGAGTCGTGTGTCGCAGAGACGTTGGTCTGAACCTCTGCGGTGGCCACAGGCTCTCCCTGTGGGCACACGAGCCAAGCAGTTTGGAAGTACCTGCTTTTTCACATCTTTGCCCACTTTTCAGAATTATATGTCTTCCAGTCTAATGTAGGTTAAGTCCTATCTTGTGTTAATTTGCATTTTCCGGACTGTAGTGAAGTTGTTCATTCTTTTCATTGGTTTATTTGGTTTCTTCTCCAGTGAGATGTCTTTTTCTGTTTTTCTACTGTTTTCATTTTCTTACTGATTCAGGACTTCTTTATATAGGTTCTAGACACTAACCCTTTGTCTGTTACTTGCATTACAAACATCTCCCAGTCAGCAGCAGGTCTTTTCACTGTAGAGTTCTCACATAGAAGTTTAAATTTTGGGTGGAGTCAACATAGCAGCCTTTTAGCCTTTTCCTTTATGATCTGTGCTTTTTCTGTCCTAAGGTATCCTTCCCTACCTCACTCCAGGCCAGAAAGACATCCTCTGGCATTTTCCTACAAAACTTTGAAAGTTTTGCTTTTCACACGTAAGTCTTTAATCCATCTAGAATTAATATTTGCCTAGGTTACAAGGGGGAATCAAAAAAAAATTTTTTCTTCACAAGGTTGTCTGATTTTTCCAACAAAGTTTGCTGAATATTCTGTCTTTTCTGCGATGATTTGTAAAGCCAGTTGGTCATGAACCAGGTTTCCCCACACCCGGATTCTGGGCCTTTCTGTTTCCTGGTCTCTCTGCCTGTGTGTGCACCAACACTGACGATCTGAGCTTCACAGGAAGCTGACCAAGCCTTGCCTACTTGCTCCTCAAAACTTTTAATGGCTATTCTTGGACCTTTGTTCTATATGAGTTTCAGAATGTTGATGTCAAGTTCTCAGAAAATCCTCTTAGAATTTTGATAGGAATTGCATTTACTTTATAATCTTGTTTCTGGAGAATTACTTTCATTACAACCCTGAGTCCTTCCATCCATGGGAAGACATCTATTGAAGGTTTCTGTGTGTGCTTGAAAGAGGTTTTAACGTTTTTTTCCTTAGAGTTGTTACTTCTATTATGAATGGGATTTTAA